TATACACATTTGTGCAAATTAATTATGTATAGAGTTTTCTATAGTCTGCTTTGCTTTCGTTTATTCTTTTATACGATAGTAGCCGTCATCGCATAAGTCAGCGTTATTTCTTACCTGATGATGATTCTATACTCAAAGACGACCGTCATCATGAACAACTCTATCAAATATGATACATTATAACTGATCATAAGATCATATGAATCGACAGATCAGTTACTGAAATTCATGTGTTGTTCGTACAAGGCTAGAACAATGGAGCTGTGAAGAAACAATCTACAACGTCTTCGGCTGATATTTACTGCAAAGAAACCGTAAATATTAATTATTATAAAAAAAAGGACCTGACGTAGCCGGCATTATGTAGAAGTGTGAGAAAAACGAAGAAAAGAAAAGATCTTCAAACTCAGCACTACAAATTTAAATAGTTTTATTACTGAGTATAAAAGTTTTCTTTCAAGTTGAAACAAGTTACAAAGTTCCTCCCAAACAAAGTCCAACATAAAATATTTTGTCTTTTTTTGTTTACAGCAAAAGAAATGAATTACGTTAGTATGAGTAAAAAGATGTATGTGACTATGAGAGAATCACGTATTTTCGTTGTTTTATGTATGCGTGTTAATAGGACGGTTAGTGAATATCACTATACGGATTACTATTTTGATCACTATTCAGTGGCTACATTTCAAGCGAGTATTATCGAGCAAGTACTATTAGTGCTAGTGTTCTTCGAGGACCTCTGACACCAGTATTGTTCAACGGCGTTACTATAGTTGTATCTGAGATTACAAAGTCTCTACTACAACGAGCATTACCAAAGTGACAACGAGTAATCGTTGACATTACAAAAGTAGCAACGAGTGTTCGTTGACATCACTAGACAAATAAACGATTTTCTCATAATAATATTTTTTTCAAAAATATACACTACTAGCAACTAATAAAAATTCAGTAGATATTTTTTGTTGTTGTTTTCGTGGTCTTTCCTTATCTGGTTCGATCCATGCCACAGAACATATTCTCTTTATTAATAACATCTCGAACGTGCAGCCTGATAGATGCAATACACACTCTTTAATAAATAAAATGGGGCGTCTATTTCAAATGGGAAGTCAGATTAAAAATAACTTCTTTAATTCTTTAAAAATTGTTTTGTTGACATTTCGAATATGAAACTGAGAAGATATGATGTTTTCTAGAAATATACCAGGTGTAACAGTAAAATTGTCCAAATCGTTTTACTAGATTAAGCTTTGAACCGTTGTATCTTAGAAATGATTAAATGTATCTTACTGGAATTCTCCGAGGTTTTTATAACACTATTAGACTCTAGTTTGAACCATAAGAATATATTTAGCTCTATGTTGAAATGATGATCAGTCTTGCTGCTGTGACCACCTGCTCTAGTTTTCCTCTTTACTGTTCTTTCCTTATAAAACTTATTCACCGTTCCTTTGATGGTCCTTGAATGTACTTTGAAGATGGAAGCCAGTGTATGAATGTTTGTACCGTCACTGAAGGCCTGGATGATCATTTTCCTCTCACCATTGCTCAGTTGGGAAGACATAGTGGAACTGACATAAAACAATTTTATCCTGTTCTCTTTCTAGCTGAATAACTCAAAGGGTTTCTCAGTGATTCTTACGAGAAATGGTGTCAAGATGGCTAAACGTCTTGTCTGAAAACCTGGATAAAAGAAACTGAAGTAGTTTAGTGTGTTTTTAGATATTAAACATTTTACGGGTTTCTCAATTATCCCATGCACCAAAACAAAAAGGAAAGTGAATTAAGTAGAGATGCCAGGTCAGGACCAATAACATTGCAGATTCTTTTTGGGATTTTCTCAAGAAAGCCTGGACAGTTACGTTATCAGGCAAACGTCATACCAACTGTACCAACGGGCCTCGGTGACGAAGAGGTAGCGAATTAGAGTCGATATAGCGCCGCTCGATCATATATTCCGTAGTGGAACTCATCCTAGTTTTTCTTTTACCCATAGAACTGTGCCTCCACGAGCCACGACTACTATCCCCAAGCAGCTCCATCCAGAGCATTTAAAACCGGCCCAAGCAAAGATATACAAGGGATAGAAATTATTAGGAGAATTTGAGATAAGTAATTCATCGAGTCTAGAAGAAACCTCAACAGAATACAGAAAGCACTGGACGGCCGTTTCGTCCCTATATTTGAGACTCATCAGCAGTGCACATCCACTACGAAGAATTGAAACCCGGACAGTTACGTTATCAGGCAAAAGTCATACCAACTGTACCAACGGGCCTCGGTGACGATGAGGTAGCGAATCAGACTCGATATAGCGCCGCTCGACCACATATTCCGTGGTGGAACTCATTCGAGTTTCTCTTTTACCCATAGGACTGTGCCCCCACGAGCCACGACTACTATCGCCAAGCCGCTCAGTCCAGTCCATTAGAAGCCGATTCAAGCAAGGATATACAAGTGATAGAAATTATTAGGAGGATTTGAGATAATTATAATTAAGTAATTCATCGTATCTAATCTAATTCGTTCAATTGCAGATGGACATATTGTAGCACCCTCAGTTTCAAAGCCCGTATCCCCACTTCGTATCCCTTGTGTTTGCAGATATTTAAAAGATGAAAACACGAATCAAAGACATTCTTTTCGATTCCAGGCCAAAAGTCAATTTATAAGTTTATTTCTTTTCGTTAGTGAATTCTGTGATTGTTGGAAAACTTTTGGAACACGTGTCGAAGCTAACGTAAGATCAGGTTTCAAAGGGATATTTATCAACAGTGCTAAAACTGGTTGAGTGTACAATCCTCTGAAAAAGATCCGAGAGGAGAACAGAAAAGATACTTTGACATAAATAAAATAAAAAAAATTTAAAAAAGAAAACCCAAAAAAAAAAACCTTTCGAACTGATTTCTGAAAACGAGGCTGCTAGAAAAATAAGTTTGGGAGATCTGAGGTCGTACGGGAGAGTTTATCGCTGAAGAATTGATTGAAAGAAATCCCCCCCCCCAAAAAAAACTAATGCGAATGAAACTACCGGATCAAATGCTGGTCGGATTAAGTCAACAAATCAATGTTGGGATTCGGATTAACAGTAACTGGTCCAATTTCTGTATATTCACTTTGAGAAGATTTTTTTTTATTTTTTTTTTTTTTTTTGGCTGTTTTAGTGGTTTTTTCTGACACCTTGAGAAATTACAGACATCGTATTTGGACATAAGATTGCATCAAATTTCCAATTTACATGAGAGAATGAAATAAATCCAGCAGCAAGGCTATATTATCTGTGGCGTTATACCATATATATATATATATATATATATATATATATATATATATATATATATATGTGTGTGTGTGTGTGTGTGTGTATGTGAGTATGTATGTATGTATATTTTTAGTATTGTAGGCTCTCCTGTGGGGTAAAGGGCCACAACCTCGACACACAATGTAATGCAGCTGTGTTTCTCGCAGAAAATAACTTTTTTACGCAAAGAAATCGGTAGTCCCACAAACAATTATTCATTTTTCACACACAAAACATAGATAGATAGATAGATAGATAGATAGATAATATATCTTCAAAATATTGGAAATATAGTCATCCTGAGATATATGCCTGATATATGTGTATTCATACATATATGAATGTGTATCTGCGTGCAAATGCGTAGATATATATGCCTTTATATATATATATATATATATATATATATATATATATATATATATATATATATAGAGAGAGAGAGAGAGATATATATAGATATATAGATATAGATATATAGATATAGATATATACATACATATATATATATGTATGTATGTATATATATATATATATATATGTATATATATATATATATATATATATATATATGTACATATACATACATATATATATATGTATGTATATATATATATATATGTATGTATATATATATATATATATATATATATATATATATATATATATATATATATATATATATATATGTGTGTGTGTGAGTGAGAGAGAGGAATTAATGGAATTTTCCCATCGTTTAACATTATTCCTTACTTTTATGGACATGTTATATTTCTACGCATATTTTAAAACAGAAGTGTTTTTTTTTTCACAGACACATGCACGTACGCACACACAACAACTTACACACACACACACACACAAACATACACACAAACACATATATAAATAACTATACATAATGTGGCATGGAAAAGTTCAAGTAACTAGTTTGAGATCATACCAAGCAAGGCAATAAAGCTACTCAGACGCAAGGCGGGAAAGTTACGGAATGTTAATGCATATGAGAAAAAATCATTTTCAAGAAGATTAATAAAAAATTGCAATTAAGTTGATATAAGATAACGAATTTTTGAAGATGAAAATGACTGCAAAGCCGGAAGTAGTTCCACGGGCAAGAAGTGCGAGAGAGGAAACCTTTAGTATAGAACTTATGGTTACACTGAGCCATGTCAAATGTAAAATGATGTCATTCGTATCAAGAAAATTATTCGAACATAACTTTTCATAAACAATTATTTGAAAAAACATTTATTCGAATTGTAAGTTTTTTTGAATTAAAATTAATCGAAAGGACAATTATACGAAATCATAATTATTCGAAATATCTATGCTTGAAATAGGTTTGAAATACGTATGCGGTCTTTGAGAGAGTCAAGGCTGATTTACCTAAAACTAATAACGCCCTTGAAGGATGACATAGGGTTTGTTTTTTTTTTTTTTTGCTGTTTTTTTGCTGTTTTGGGTTGTTGTTTTTTTTGCAGCAAGTGTCATCCCATAATCTCATCATATAATATGGATATTCTTGGACGCTCTTAAAAGTGAACAGGACTTGCAAGAAATTCATATTGCAAAACTAAGACCAGGTTGCCAAAATATTAAGAGCGCCAAGAAATACCGCGACGTAGATGGAAAAATTAGAAAAATTAGTGTCATCTTTCAACAGATACTCAAGGTTGGCTATTTGTGTGCAGTATCATACAACTTAAGGGTATAAGGATTTTATCACACTAAATTGCTTTATTAACGATGTTTGTATTTCGAATAATTTTAGATCAGCTGCCAATTTGTCCTTACCAGGCTGATTAATGTTTAACCAAGCAACTTCTAGTATTTTGTCAAAAAGAAGTAGAAAGCTATTACACCGAGAGTTAGAAGGAACTGACAGTCCAAACTTGTGGAACTGAAGATAGTTCGACTGAAGAGTATCGAGAAAATTGTCCGAAAACAATTATTCGACAAACATTTATTGGATTTGTAAATTGTTTGGATGAAAATTAATCCAAAGGACAATTATACGAGATAAAAATATTCGAAATATCTATGTTTGAAATAGGTTTGAAATATTTATGCGGTCTTTGAGAGAGTCAAGGCTGATTTATCTAGAACTAATAACGACCCTGAAGGATGACATAGGTTTCTTTTTTAGTTTTTTTGTAGCAAGTGCCATACCATAATCTCATCATCTCATAATATGGATATTCTTGAACGCTCATAAAAGTGGACAGGACTTGAAAGAAATTCATATTGCAAAACTAAGAGCAGGTTGTCAAAATATCAAGAGCGCCAAGATATACCGTGACGTAGATGGAAAAATTAGTGTTATTTTTTAACAAGTACTTATCAGTAGTTGACTATTTGTGTGCAGTATTATATAACTTAAGGGTATAAGGATTTTATCTTACTAAATAGTTTTATTAACGATATTTGTATTTCGAATAATTTTAGATCAGCTGCCAATTTGACCTTAACAGGCTGATTAATGTTTAACCAAGCAATTACAATAATGGATAGCAGCTCGGATTGAGGAATCGGAGAGCCGAGTTCGAATTCCAGTTGAATCCATTCATTTACGTGCTAATACCCTTGCCAATCTTCTTCTCCCACCAGCTATAAATAAATAGCAAGACCGACCGGTTTCTATAGCCTTGGATGGCAAGTGGTCTAGCGCAGAAAGAAATGGCATTCTACTTCGGGAAAAAAAATCTGCCTCGTCAGTCATATATCGAAAGATACATGATCGCCTAAGCGTGTATCACGCATGGCACATAATTGACTGGCCCTTGGGAAAGGTATGGATACTTTTTTTCAATGCTATGGGTAAATAGCAGGTCAGGCCGGGTTCTATAGTCTTGGATGGCAACTAGTCTACCGCAGAAAGAAATAACGCACTGCGGGGAAAGAAAATCTGCCTCGTCAGTCATGTATCGAAAAATACATGGTTGCCTAAGCGTGTATCACACATGGCACATAATTGACTGACAGTATTTTGCCAAAAGGAGGTAGAAGCCTATTTGGCCGATATTTAGAAAGACCAGACAGTTCGGCCGAGTTCTTCAAGACTAGAACTACAGATGAGGATTTCCAACAAGCAGGAAATCAAGATGTCGCAAAGTATTTATTGTAAAGTTTAGAAAGAACAAAAGCCAGTTCAGGGGCCGGAATATCATGTAGTTAACATGCTCTCTGTGGTATCCAGTAAATATCTAACACATCAAATACCACAGTTTATGATTCAGTAATAACAAATTTAATATAGTAAATAAAGAAACTGAAAATTCAATAGACTGCGTTAGAGATAGTTTCACCCAATACCGCAAGTTGCTGCAAAACCAAAAACATTAACCTGAAAACCCGTGTTTAACCGAGAAGCCAGTGCCAGTGTCGATTAAAATTTATAAAAATATTCTATTAAAATAATTTTTCAGTAAAATAGCTTTCTCAGTCTAAATAGCAGTTATTGCTCATTCTAGTATTGAAGAGGGGGGTCTTCTTTTCTAGCATTTTGCTTGAAGTATTGTGGAACGACACACTCTTGATTATATCATTATTTTCTCTTCGCGTTACATGTACTATCCATTTTAGTTGTTGCGGCTGTTGAAAGTCCTCAAGTGAAGTGGCTTATGTTATTTCTTATAGTTGTGATTCTGTAGCGCCAGTCTATGAAATCCAAAGAAAATCTAAGCTCGTCTGTTGTGTTTACTTTCACACAAATATCTTAGAAAAAAAGGTATTACCCACCGTTAAACCGGTGGCTGGGCAGTAAGTCTTTTTTTTTTCAGTCCCAGTAGCAGTTATAGCTCTTTCTAGTATTGAGGGCAGGTCTTCTTTTCTAGCATTTTGTTTGAAGTATTATGGAACTCAAAACTGTTGATTATATTATTATTTTCTCTTCGTGTTACATGTACTATCAATTTTAGTTGTTGCGGCCGTTGAAAGTCGTCAAGTGAAGTGGCTTATGTTATTTCTTATAATTGTGATTCTGTAGCGCCAATCGAACGAAATTCGAAGAAGAATGGTCCTCGTTTAAACGTAGAGGCTTCATTTGCTGGAAGCTAGTTTTCAATGATGGATCTGAGAAAGCGATAGTATTCAGCAGTTGAGATACTTGTAAAGGATTTTGACACCATTCTTGACATCCATATAAAAAAATGTCGATCTGACGGAGATTAAAGAGACATGACTCCAGTCTTTTGGATTTGTAGCTACTTACGGTATTGGACGAAGCTATTTCTAACACAGCCTATACAAGGTTCAATTTATTTATCTCCTCTACTAAGTTTCATATAGGTGATCTATACACCCAAGTATTTGAAGCATTTAGATTTTATTAATTCCATTTTCCGAATTTTTATATTTTTTATATTTGGGGGGTGGGATTTAGGGCCATCATAATTTCTATCCATTTCTATTTTGGAAAGATGTGTTCCATTCCTTGGAACATTTCATATTGGATATTGATATTTTTTTTTTTTTTTTGGTCTATGAAGATTTTTATACCAAATATGTATACCTATGTCATCAGCATACCACTGTCATCCTCAGTTCATTGGCCTCGGGTTGGAAATTAAGTAATCGTAATTACGATCCAATTCATCAAACCTACAAAATTTGTCGGTCTGATGAATTGGATCGTGATTACGATTCCAATGTAATAAATTATAACCATGAAATATTACTGTTTGAGCCTTTTATATTATATTCTTACTCTGTCCTGGACATTGACTTCGACCTGGATTCTATCCTCTTGGTAATTTATATATATATATAGATATAGATATATATATATATATATATATATATATTATATATATTTAAACATGTATCAATATGCTGATTTCCTTTCGTCTTTCAATGATAATGTTATTAAGCTTAGCAGACAATATGAAAGGAACTTACATAAAATAAATAGACAAAACTTGTGTATATTATTTAATGAAACATGCATTAATATATATATATGCCCATACATTCTTTTTATAAATACAAATATTTAAGTAAATGCTCTGTTTTATAATAAACAGTATTTATAACATTTACCGGCCTAAATGTCCGAGAAATTTTCATAGAAAATATTCGTCCTCCGACAGGAATCGAAACTGTATCCTCTACGGAACTATCTTAACCGATCGAGCCACATAGGTTTTTCGATCAGCAATGTCGAATTTACAGCCTTTAAACTTCAATCTTCCATGAATCTCGCACGAACATTCATACCTGCGCAAAGCGTATCCAAATGTAAATAAATGTTCTCACACATTATGAAATGGACATAGTCCGACAATTATTTTAACACATTTTATGTTTATACATTCTTTTTATACATACAAATATTTAAGTAAATGCTCTGTTTTATAATCAACAGTATTTATAACATTTACCGGCCTGAATGACAGAGAATTTATATATATATATATATATATATATATATATATATATATATATATATATATATATATATATATATTATTTAATATTATCAATATATATATAGAGACATATATAGATATTAGATACTGTATCTAGGTCTGCTCTACGGTTGTATTGAGCTCTTTTGTTAGTTATTTGTTTACTCGTATCGGGGTTTTTTCTTTGGGCTTCAGACCTGCATCTGTGCGATTTTTTGTCGACAGAAGTTCATGTTTGTAGCTCTTTCTTTTTTTTAAAACATTTTTTTCCCTCGAGATTGATTTGATTAGCAAATCAAAAATTCGAGGGTTTTTCGAAACGAGTCTAGTTATCTATATTTATATATATACGTATATATATATATATATATATATATATACACGGGTATTCTCGAATATGAGTTACCAGCTATATATATATATATATATATATATATATATATATATATATATATATATATATATATATATATATATATATATATATATATATATATATATATATATATATATAAAAAAAAAAAGAGCAGTAAGCTATATAATCCGGTGTTCTTATTGATATTTTTATCAAGCATAAATATTATAAATTAATTCATTTAAATATATTTTTCCTTCGCTACACAGGAATTACCATGTTTCAAAAACCAAGGTTAAAAACTTCAAGTTTAATATTTAATTGAATTAAAAGCGTTAGTTCCGTTTAATCTTCAAGCAAATTTTGGTATTATTTTGGAGTTATTCCAAAATTCGTTTAAAGATGAAACGGAACTAATCTAATGCTTTTAATTTAATTATATAATTAAGTTTTTATCTTCGTTTTTTGAAACATGGAAAATCCTCTGTAGCGAAGGAACCATATTTTAAATCAGTTAATTTATAATATATTATATATATATATATATATATATATATATATATATATATAGTGCGGTGAATAAATTTTCCCCATTTCATATTTTTGTTTACACTATTTACATTATTCGGGCTATTGTCCTCATCTTTGTCCCCATATTTATTACAACATTAAAGACGTTGATTATATCGAGTGACAGGACCCAAAGAGTGTAAGTTCAATACCCAGTTAAGGCAGTGGAGAACTTGGTGAGGGGAATTAACAGGAGATAACTGATAACTAACAACCATTAAACATGGTACGTGGAACTAGAACAGTCTACCCCAGGGAGCGAAATAAAGGGTTCAGTTCGACATTCCAACCACCTCAAGAAGGCCGGAGCGTACAACGACCGAAGGTGTGATAAATATGGCGACAAAGATGAGGACAATAGTCCGAATAATGTAAATAGTGTACATAATACCTCATCTCAGAAATATAGACGGATACTGTTGTTGATTCCGGGATGAAATCATGTACCAATAAATAACAAACGCCAAGAAGGAATATAGGAAAATAAATGTATTAATGTAATAATACAAACTGGTAATGCAGGTTAGTAGTTCCAGGAATACGGGTTAGTAGTAAAATATCTATACAGTCTTTGGTATTGAAGTATCACTGTATGACTTTTTACTGAGTCTACGTGCTCGCTTCACAGTGTGTTATGGGATTGTACCCATAATAATAATAATAATAATGGACTATTCCATACTTAATGAATACTGCGCCTCAGGAGTAGGCAAGGAGTCAGTAGTTCAAATCGAGGCAAGGAGTCAGTAGTTCAAATCGAGGCAAGGAGTCAGTAGTTCGTCGAGTCAAGAGTCGAGTCAGAGGCAATCCGAAACAAAATCGCGTTCAGACAATTACTGAAAGACATTACAATAGTGATACTGGTCGAGACTACATTGTTCTCTCTACTAAACCTGATTGTTCATACTAACACTTTTCTACTTCTCTGTATATATTCCTGTTTGTAATATATCTGTGTTATTCCATACCTGTGTTCGAGTTCTTCTTTATTGGTTCTACCTTGGACTATCACCGTGGTACAAGGAACCGGGCCATGATACGGTGACTCTAGCTCGCTACGTTCGTTTGGTCTGTCTGTTACCTTCAACCTCTGTTGCTCTCGTCCCTCGGGTCTTCACGTAGCAGCAGTATATGTATATAGTGGGTGAGTCCATTTGTCTAAAAAGGGAAGGACCCCTCAACAGATACTATATTTTTGTTTGTTTTTGATTTTGTCACTTGCACAATGTATGAGGCTCAGTTGGGCCCCGTCATTGAAAAAAAGAGCACCATGACGAAATTCTCCCCGCGAAAAATGCATTTGAGTGCAAATCTGAGGACATTGCAGAGGATTTGGAAAGAGTTAGATTAGTCTAATGGTGATTATAAATGTGTTTCAAGTGAACCCTAGTGATGCCGACGTCATGCTTCCATTCTTATTCCCACAATGCCTCAGATTCAAAACGAAGCCCTACATAATGTGCCTTGAGAAGGTAGTGCTGTGTTGGGTCAAGAGGACGGGCCCTGAAAGACCCTATGTCTGGCAACAGCAATCTTCACCATGCCACACAAGCAGGCGAACCGGGTCGTGGCTGTCAGGCAATTACTGCGACCACAACACCCCTTATATCTGGTTACTTAACTATCCAGAATGCAAACCCCTTGATTATTATATGTGGGGAGCAGTTGATTTAGATACCAACAAAACTCCTTGTAACACCAAAGATGAAAGGATTTTGACAGCAATCACCAAATTAAACAAGGAGACCGTCCAGAAACGTTGCAGGAGATTCCGAAGTTGTTTGGAGGCCGTGATTGAAGCCAATGACGATTTTATTGAATAAATTTACTCTTTACTATTTCAAGATATTTTTGTGTCATTTTGGTAAATATATCTGTTAAAATGAGATGCTGATGTTATTTTCATTATTGCATAATTTACACGACAATTTATCCATCGCACCTTATATATATGATAAAAATATCAAGATGTCTAGCTTAACAGATTTTTATAAAAGCAAGAGTGACTTTTTCTATCTTCCATCTGTCAAGGCTGACAACATATGTAGCAGTTATTTTTTTTTATCACTGAGATCATAGTTCTTTATTTCTTTTACTCTTGAGGGATACTACTGACAAGTCTATAGTCAAGACAACAGATTATTAAACAATGCACAGGGGCATGGATTCATGCCTTTTTCTTTGTTTTTAAAGGGTTTAAGATGACCTGAAGGCAAAGATTATGGCAGCATTCACCAAGTTAAACAAGGAGACCATCCAGTAAAATTGCAGGAGATTCCGAAGTCATCCTGAGGCCATGATTGAAGCCAATGAACATTTTATTGATTAAATTCACTCTTTAGTATTTCCAGATATTTTTGAATAATTTTGGTAAATATATCTATTAAAATATGTCAGTGTTGTTTTCACTTTTTGTTTAATCTAAATTTATCCATTGCAACCTATATATATATATATATATATATATATATTAAAATGAGATATTCGTGTTATTTTTATTTTTGCGTAATTTAGACAACAATTCCATACCACCCTGTTTGCATGTATCTATTGATATTTGTTTTGTTTTTTTGTTTTTTTTAAATAATCTTGGATTAATTTATGGGTTTAAGGACCGTGTGACGGATATCGGGTTGGAATTGGCGAGCCAAGTTCAAAATCTAAGCTCGTATGTTGTTTACTTTCACACATAATATGGTTTTACCCACCGTTCAACCGGTGGCTGGGTATTAAGTCATTTTTCTCTACCCCAGATAAAGCGGTGGCCAGGGATCAAACGGTTAAGTGAAAGAAAGTAATTTAATATTAAATACTATTGGAACGGTGAAGAACTGGTATATAGCGTGCCTATGAAGACTAATGGGTATATCCCAATACTAATAAATACGTTGGACACTATTGTAAGCTGTCTAAGTATCCCACCTCTAGCAGTGGTTTACGTATTACTCGCCGCTGGCGAGTATTGTATTTTGCTGATGTTATAAAGATTAACATTTCATTTCCAACCTTCGTTTTAGTACCTCATTCAGAGAGAAGGATTTAAAATCAAAACATACCAAAATTAGAAGAAAGAAAGAAAGAAAGAAAGAAAGAAAGAAAGAAAGAAAGAAAGAAATTGTTATATCCCGTTGTTCCTCATTCAGTAATCCTTTCTCGGTTACAACAGAAAGAAAGAAAATAAAAATGGAGATATTAAAAGAAAGAAAGAAAGAAAGAAACAACGAAAGAAAAAAGAAAGAAAGAAAATGAAAATGGAGATATTAAAAGAAAGAAAGAAAGAAAGAAAGAAATTGTTATATCCCGTTGTTCCTCATTCAGTAATCCTTTCTCCGTTACAACAGAAAAAAAGAAAGAAAATAAAAATGAAGATATTAAATGAAAGAAAGAAAGAAAGAAAGAAAGAAAAAAGTAAGAAAAAAGAAAGAAAGAAAATAAAAATGGAGATATTAAAAGAAAGAAAGAAAGAAAGAAAGAAAGAAAGAAAGAAAGAAAGAAGCGGAGTAAACTCTGAATGATATACAAGTGTAAAGAAAGAAAGAAAGAAAGAAAGAAAGAAAGAAAGAAAGAAAGAAAGAAAGAAAGAAGGGAGTAAACTCTGAATGATATACAAGAGTAAAGAAAGAAAGAAAGAAAGAAAGAAAGAAAGAAAGAAAGAAAGAAAGAAAAAAAGAAAAAAGAAAGAAAAAAGAAAGAAAGAAAATAAAAATGGAGATATTAAAAGAAAGAAAGAAAGAAAGAAAAAAGAAAGAAATTGTTATATCCCGTTATTTCTCATTCAGTAATACTTTCTCGGTTACAACAGAAAAAAAAAAGAATATAAAAAGATATTAAAAAAAAAAGAAAGAAAAAGAAAGAAAAAAGCAGGAAAAAAAAATAAAAAATGGAAAAAAAAAAGAAAGAAAAAGAAAGAAAGAAAGAAAAAAAAAAGAAGAAAGAAAATAAAAATGAGATATTAAAAGAAAGAAAGAAAGAAAGAAAGAAAGAAAGAAAGAAAGAAAGAAAGAAAGAAAGAAATTGTTATATCCCGTTATTTCTCATTCAGTAATCCTTTCTCGGTTACAACAGAAAAAAAGAAAGAAAATAAAAATGGAGATATTAAAAGAAAGAAAGAAAGAAAGAAAGAAAAAAGAAAGAAAAAAGCAGGAAAGAAAATAAAAATGGAGATATTAAAAGAAAGAAATAAAGAAAGAAAGAAAGAAAGAAAGAAAGAAAGAAAGAAATTGTTATATCCCGTTATTTCTCATTCAGTAATCCTTTCTCGGTTACAACAGAAAAAAAGAAAGAAAATAAAAATGGAGATATTAAAAGAAAGAAAGAAAGAAATTGTTATATCCCGTTATTTCTCATTCAGTAATCCTTTCTCGGTTACAACAGAAAAAATGAAAGAAAATAAAAATGGAGATATTAAAAGAAAGAAAGAAAGAAAGATAAAAGAAAGAAAAAAGAAAGAAAGAAAATAAAAATGGTGATATTAAAAGAAAGAACGAAAGAAAGAAAGAAAGAAAAAGGAAAGAAATTGTTATATCCCGTTATTTCTCATTCAGTAATCCTTTCTCGGTTACAACAGAAAAAAAGAAAGAAAATAAAAATGAAGATATTAAAAGAAAGAAAGAAATAAAGAAAGAAAGAAAAAAGTAAGAAAAAAGAAAGAAAGAAAATAAAAATGGAGATATTAAAAGAAAGAAAGAAAGAAAGAAAGAAAGAAAGAAAGAAAGAAATTGTTATATCCCGTTATTTCTCATTCAGTAATCCTTTCTCGGTTACAACAGAAAAAAAGAAAGAAAATAAAAATGGAGATATTAAAAGAAAGAAAGAAAGAAAGAAATTAAGAAAGAAAGAAAGAAAGAAAGAAAGAAAGAAAGAAAGAAAAAAGAAAGAAAATGAAAATGGAGATATTAAAAGAAAGAAAGAAAGAAAGAAAGAAAGAAAGAAATTAAGAAAGAAAGAAAGAAAGAAAGAAAGAAAAAAGAAAGAAAGAAAGAAAATGAAAATGGAGATATTAAAAGGAAGAAAGAAAGAAAGAAATTGTTATATCCCGTTATTCCTCATTCAGTAATCATTTCTCGGTTCCAACAGAAAGAAAGAAAGAAAGAAAGAAAGAAAGAAAGAAAGAAAGAAAGAAAGAAAATAAAAATGGAGATATTAAAAGAAAGAAAGAAAGAAAGAAAAAGTAAGAAAAAAAGAAAGTGTTGTATAACCTACCTATGAAGACTAATGGGTATGTCCCAATCCTCGTAAATACGTTGTACACTATTGGGTGGGGGGGGTAATATGCAGTCTATGTAGTCCACCACTAGCAGTGGTTTACCTACTTCACGCCGCTGACGAGTATTGTATTTTGTTGATGTTATAAAGATAACCATTTCATTTCCAACCGTTTTTTTGGGTGGTGGTTATTCCTCATTCATTAACTTTTTCTAGGTTACAAGAACTTTGTGTCGTTTCTTTTCTTTGGTTTTCTTTCTTTTTTGCTCGTTCTGAACCGACCTAGCGGTGAAAAAGTAGTGAAAGTTTTTACCAGATGAGCAACAGCCTCACTCTTATTGTTTCAGGCAAGCGCAATAAATGTGAATAAATGGCATCAAAGAAATTATCGGCTAGAATAGCAAAGAAATTTAATTGTTTTCCATTTGACGTTGTCAGAAGAAACAAACTTTCGTTTGATTAACACTTGAAAATTCATGTCTTCTGATACATCTTGTTTTACTTTCGATAAAACTAGACATTCTCTCTTTCTCTCTCTTTCTATCACTTTTTCTTCATCTATCAGTCTACGCACATCTCACTCCCTCTCTTTCTCTCTCACATTCTCACATATATATATATATATATATATATATATATATATATATATATATATCTATATATATATATTGTTTTCTGATACATCTTCGATTACTTTCGATAAAAGTAGACACTTTCTTTCTCTCTCTTTCTTCTTCTATCAGTCTACGCACATCTCACTCCCTCTCTTTCTCTCTCACATTCTCATATATATATATATATATATATATATATATATGCATGTCTTCTGATACATCTTGTTTTACTTTCGATAAAAGTAGACACTCTCTCTTCTCTTTCTTTCTATCCCTCTTTCTTCATCTATCAGTCTACGCACGTCTCACTCCCTCTCTTTCTCTCTCTCTATCACATGTGCGTACACAAGATGTATCAGAAGACACACACACACACACACACACACATATATAATATATATATATATATATATATATATATATATATATTACTACATTAAACGTGACACGTACCAAGCGTCCTGGTTAAGACGATAAAATACATCCATCAGCATGGCCTCTGCTCAGGAGGTTTTGACGAGCGTAAACCACTTCTTAATTGTTGATGTTCCTAGGTTCACCCAGACTAGGGTTGGTGGCAGCTGTTGGGGTCCTAAATTTGGGCAAATATTTGACCCCAAAACTGGGGTCAACACATTCAAAAGTGTAAAAGTAGCCTTTAATATCAGCAATAGATTTTTGTAAAAGTTTATTTCCAGCAATGAATTTTTGAAGAAAACAATTATTACCTGCAATACATTTCTTGGAAAAAAATATTGAAAAAATTTTTTAGCAGGAATAAAAAATCTTGTTGGGATTAAATAACCCATTGAGTTGTGGATATTCCGTAAAACAACACAAAAAAAACCTGCCAAAGTGACACGTATCTAAGCAATAAGAAATAGCCAAACAAAATACACCATTAATCTGTCTCTGCTTTTCATCATTTTTATAATTTCTATCTTGATCTCTAACGAAGCTTTAATAAAGTGAAATATGTTAGATTGAGATCTGTTTCCTACTTGTTCTTTATCCTATTATATATATCCTATCATACATACACACACACACACATACACGCACACATAATATATATATATATATATATATATATATATATATATATATATCAATCTGTTCATACGTATCTATCAATCTATCTCTGTGAGAGCAATGATATCTGTTAGAATGATAATATCTATCCATCAACCCGATCTCTATCTATCTATTCCAGTATCCTGATCAATCTATAAATCTTTTCAGATCTATCTCATTCTCTTAATTATGTTCGAATCATTCTACCAAAGTCTATTCATATATATATATATATATATATATATATATATATATATATATATATATATATATATATAGACTCTCTAGTCGGTTTCGACGTATGAGGTTCTGACAGCTCAGCTTAGTTGATTCAGCTACGAAATTTATATTATATATATATATATATATATATATATATATATATATATAAATAAAATAAAGAACAAAAGAAAGATATAAAAATCCGGTGTTTGAAGATGAAATGGAACTAATGCTTTTAATTTAATTGCAAAATTAAATTCGGGGTTTTAGCTTCTATTTTTGAAACATGGTTGGAACTGTGTAGCGAAAAAAACATATTTTAAATCAATTAATTTATAATATATATATATATATATATATATATATATATATATATATATATATATATATATATAAGAAGCTACAAAGAACATAAAAATTTATTGAACCTAAAACCGGAAATTTTTTGTAGTTGTAGACATAAGAAAAGCTGGTTATTAGAGTAGTTTTTTTCGTTTTTTTTGTCTTTTGTTGTTTAATAACACCCACCTCCCCGTCGTTTGTCTTTTATTTATATTTTTTGTTTGTCACGTAGTCATGGTTACTTTTTGGTTTTAGCTATAAATTCTGTTAAAATTATTTCCCTTTTCAACCGGCATAACCCTGAAGATCCATTCAAGTGAAACCTAGGTAGGTTTACCTGGCTCCTTAGGATTATCTTAGGTTTCGCTCTACTTACTGTATTGAGCACTTTACGTAGTTGTCTTTTTACTTGTTTTGTTTTGGTTTTTTTTCTTTGGACTTGATGCTTAAACACTGGACGATTGTTTTCACCTTGTTTTAATGTTCTTGATTCTTTCTTTTTTTATTCCCCCTTTGTCCACGGGTACCGATTTGTTCTACTGCAAGTTGAGCTATCCGAGGTTTTTCCAAGCGAGTACCACCATTTTACATATATATATATATATATATATATATATATATATATAGTCATCCACAGACAGACTGTTTCGCTGTATCTCAGCTCATCAGTGTGGATAGACGTCCGGTTGCCTCTAACTAGGATCGAACCCCGACTGAATTGGCCTCAGTCGGGGATTCTACCACCAAGCCGTTAGCACACGACAGGGATAAAGGTGAATTTAAGCGTATTTATTTCTGATAAGCACACAGTATATATATATATATATATATATATATATATATGTGTGTGTGTGTGTGTGTGTGTGTGTGTGTGTGTGTGTGTGTGTAAAATATATAGTTTTAAGTTATTTTATTTGTCTACATAAAAGTGCACAATATCAAGGATAGAACGTATGCAAATATAAAAGAGGACTTCAACCCCGACAGTCTGTTTCATGCTTTAACGCAATCTTCAGGCCCCGTGTGTTGTGTTATAGATCGACTACTTATATATACTTGATAATGGTGTATTATAGGTAGCAAGGTCTATTATATTATCCCACCGCTTATTGACTAGGTGCTAATGGTTATATCTTACATCATTCCAAAGTCATTCTAGATCTGAATGTAGTCATTTGTAGCTATTTTATAGTGATGTTTCTTAACTGTTTTATTCATTATTTATTATTGGTCACTTAGTTATTTAGTTATCGTCTGTTACCCCTCTCTTTAACACTAACACTAACATTCGTCCCACACTCTCATACGTACACTCTCTCTAAATTCGATTTTTATTTCCGGAGTTGTTCTTTTCTGTTTTCTTTTTGAATTGGTAGGTCTGATGAATTGGATCGTATTTACGATTCCAATGGAATAAATTATATATATATATATATATATATATATATATATATATATATATAGAGAGAGAGAGAGAGAGAGATGAAAAGTAGTTTTAAGGTGTGCTATATTTAAGGGACATAGTGCTCAATATCATAGATAGAGCGTATGTAAATATAGATATAAAAGTGAGCATTGAAGTCAACACTCTGTGGCAACAGGCTGTTTCATGCTAGAATCAATCGTCAGGCCACCTGACGATTGCGCATAGCATGAAACAGCCTGACCCTTCTGAATTTTGACTTCTATGCTCACTTACTTATGGGAGGGGTGCTTTTTTTCAAACGAATGATGACATCCGTTCAATGCATGTCGTCTGGTCTTTTTCAACGTCAGAAATTTTTTCGGCACTTTCGTTTCGCCATTAAATTTGTACCTGTATACATAAAGAATTTTTCGATATATATATATATATGTATATATATATATATATATATATATATATATATATATATATATATCAATCTGTCCATACGTATCTATCAATCTATCTCTGTGAGAACAATGATATTTGTTAGAATGATAATATCTATCCATCCACCCGATCTCTCTATCTAACTATTCCTGTGTCCTGATCAATCTATAAATCTTTTCAGATCTATCTCATTCTCTTAAGTATATTCGAATCATTCTACCAAAGTCTATTCATATATATATATATATATATATATATATATATATATATATATATATATATATATATATAATGGAATCTCTGCTCTGTTTATAATAAACAGTATTAACAACATTTACCGGGTTGAATGTCATTTGTTTACATTTAGATACGCATTGACCAGATATGAATGCATGAGAGAAAATCATGGAGAATTTTGTTTAAATACAGTAAAATCGACCTTGCAAACCGAACGTTGCTCTCTGGCCCAATCGGTAAAGGCACGTCAGGCTATATGACGGTTCCGTATAGGATACAGGTTCGATTCCTGACGAAAGACGCATATTTTCTATGAAAATTTCTCGGACATTCAGGCCGGTAAATGTTGTTAATACTGTTTATTATAAACAGAGCATTTACTTAAATATTTGTACTCGCCTCTTGATCCTTTCACATGAACGCGGGTGTCCCCCAAGGCTCTATCCTGGGTCCTAAAATGTTTCTGATCTTCATCAATGATCTTCATGATGTCATCAATTCCCAAGTTGGCATTTATTCTGATGAAACTGTCATTTACTCCTGTCTCAACAGCAAATCCGTCAGAGCCGACAAAATTAACCTGGCCACGGCTCTTGAAAAGGACCTCTAATCTGTGGTCAACTGGGGCAAGAAATGGCTAGGAATTTTTTTATACCTCCAAAACGAAACTACTCTCTTTTAACCGTCATAGAGAAATTTTCTTGCCCACAACCAGATGGCTGATGCTAGACTCATGTAGAGCAAGACACTGCGTCTTCTTAACCTCACGTTTTCAAATGACTTGAAGTGGGACAATTACATCGAATTAATAGCC